CAGGTATGGTGGTGTTGGTGGGGTTATTGGGAGTTATAGACTCCCAAAGAAAAGATATATAATATATATATGCGGTGTGCCGACGACCCCCGACCGGTAGGTGCCGACCAGTCAAGGGCGCCGACCGTCGGGGTATGCAACACTGGTGTGAGTAGGTCTTGGATGACTTTGCTCTGTGTTGGATGTGTGGACTGCTTTGTCTATGCTCCATGGTTGCCTTGCTGCCAGTCCCACTTGTTCCTCATGCCATTCTTTGCAGCTTGTGAGTAGCTGTGTAGTTTGGCTGTGGCATAGGTTTGCCTTGTGCTTCGCTGCACTGTTGCCTTGCTGTCCATCGACGTGCCTTTTCCCGAGCATTTTGCTTGTGTGACGTGCAGTTTTGCCGCTGCTGCAGTGCTGCTGTGTGCTTTGCGGTGCTGTTGCTTTGCTGCCAGTCTGCTTGCCCTATTGTTCCATGCAGTGTCTCGGCGTTATGCAGTTGGGTTTCCCCGGCAGCGGTTCCTGGTGCTTCACTGAGTTGTTGCCTGCTGCTATGCTCTGCTTGCAATGTCACCTGCTGGGAGTCTGCTTTCAACTACCGTCTTCTCCCGAACATAACGCATATGCGTTGTATTCGAGTTTTCAAATAAAAAAAAATTGAATAGAACGCATATGTGTTGTATTCTTAGGGCTATTCGAATAGAACACAAACAGAACGCACCCTATGCATTGTATTCGCTTACAACACATATGTGTTATGTTTGGGGGAAGAAGGTAGGGTCAAAGGGTTCATGATCCAAGGCATCAATATGGGGATTCCGCAGATTGTTGAGGGTTCAGCCTCCCAATGAGTTGGTGGTGCAACTCCAACAAGGGTCAAAGGGTTCATGACCCAAGGCATCAAATATGGGGATTCCGCAGATTGTCGAGGGTTCAGCCTCCTGATGAGTTTGTGGTGGAATTCCAACGAATGCAAGGAACCTGACTGTTCATCACTTGCTGGAGTGCATAAGATCACATGCATATACACTGATTTCACAGATTGCAGAGTCTCACACAAAACCCAATAGAAGATGAATGCGAACCAGGAAGCTCAACTCAATTATTATACCCATATTTAGAGAGAGAACATCATGAGTTCAAAGTGTATAGCGCTGAACAGAGTTACAAGACTCCTTCGATCAACATGAGTTCCAGGCGTGGCGCTCATCAGTGTGGCATACTGCGCAGCCACACGGGCCCTGCAGGGCCCGTCCCACACTTTCAGCCTAAAAGCCTAGAAAATAGGGCTTACAGGCCCCGGTCGTTTCAGCCTGAAACTGAAAAACGAGGGCCTGCGGGCCCTATTCCGTTTTCAGCCTATTTCTGGGCCTTTCAGGCCCAGAGGCTTTTCAGCCTGAAACGGAGGGCCATTTTCAGGCCCTCATTGTGTTCGACCTACCCTAAGACTCAGGCACAAAAACAGGGTTTCGGAACAGGTTATTTCTGGCCTGTTCCCCACGACAGCTCAAGCAGGAGCTGCAGCGGCAGCCCCTGCCTCCCTTCGGCATTTGCAAGAGCAGCTTCCTGGACTGCCTCGCCTGCAGTCAGGAGGGACCCGAGTAGTACATAGGAAGTTCCCATGCACTTCACGGGTAGGTAGTTGGGCAGTAGGACGAGTAGTCTTCAGGATTCAGCGCAGCACTCAGGAGGAGCGCTGCCAGGAGTAGCTTAGCGCTAGCAGTAGTCTTCAGCGCTAGGCGCTAGTAGCCATAGCAGTAGTCTTCAGCGCTGGGCGCTAGTAGGTGGTAGATAGTAGAGTTGGGAGAGATGGCTGGCGGAGGCCAGCGAGACTTACCCGTGGCGCCATAGCTCCAGCTCCATCTTTGAGGTACCTGCATCAAGGCGCCAACTTCACAGGTTAGTACTGGACTCTGAGAGAGAGAGAGAGAGAGAGAGAGAGAGAGAGAGTTCTTCTTCTTCCTCTTCTAAGTCCACCATCTCTTCTTCCCCTCTCGCCACCTGACTTCTCAGTATCAGCGGACTACTACAGAGAGAGAGTTGTGACTTGAGACTTGACGACATTGGATCCAGACTCGACATTTGGGATTCAGACATTTTGACGAGGGACTATTTGGGCYTGTGCCGAAGACTTGGTKTTGAYGACATCCCCATCTTCCCCTCCTCTTCGTCTAACCCCCTTCTTCTTYGTCTRTGTATGGTTGGGGCTGGCGCAGTCTTCCTGTGTGAAGCGCCAGACCCCTTTCACACCATGGAACGATGATGATGATGTATGTTCAGGGCTGCATTGCAATATTGATTGTTCGGATCATTGGTATCTAAGTCTTCCGCTACGCTATCTTGTACTTTGTATTGAGAGGTTGGTTCTTGTTCTGGTCTGCACCGTTACAGTATGCAACAGTTTGGTATCGGAGCGGACCTCTCATTCAGAGGACCCGCTCAATCAAGTAGCCAGCTTGCTTGATCTAGTGGTCACTCATTAGTAAATCAAGAAGGACTTCGTCAAATCTCTGAAAGTTTTTCTTTCTCGCAACAACTATCTGAAAATTTCTGATATTCGCTTTTCGTTTTACGTGAAAATTTCTGATAAATCGCATTTCGTTTTGTCTGAAAATTCCGGATAGTAGCAATTCGTTTCTGTGATATTTCGCATACATAGCTGAAATTTTCTGATGTTAGTATTTCGTTTTCTAGGCATATTGGGATAACGATAGAAGTGGTCATATTCTCGGAAACCGGTTCTTTTCTGAAAATCGAATTTCCATTCTATCTCGCAAATTTTTTTTGAAAACCGAAATCTTGTGAAGCCTACGGAGGTTGCCATATTCTCGTTCTTTTCTGAAAATCGCATCTTTACTGGATTTCGCAAAAAAAAAATTTCAAGATCGCATCTTTATGAAAGTCGAAACTTTGCGGAACCTAGCCTAGATCTCGTTCATAGTACTCTTCTGACATGTCTCACTCATAACAGATCGACAGATATACACACACAAAAAAAAAAAGGAAGTAGTCCTCTTTTTTTTTTTCTTTATCTGTTGATTAGGGCCAGGAGGAAAGTATTGTTGGGTTGGTTCCCTACCTACGTTTTCCCTCCCCACCCACCCTTTGCATGCATTTCCGAGTTGGTACAGTGCCACGTCAGCAACAGTGCCACGTCAGCAGTGCCACATCAGCAGTGCCACGTCAGCAACAGTGCCACGTCAGCAGTGCCACGACAGCAACAGTGCCCCGCCACCATGACGGGCACAGCTCTGGGCATGCCAGGCCAACTGGCCAACGAGTCTATTGCCGACTACAAACAGCGGTTCCACACTCAGCTCGCACTGATCGAGGCTGAGGAACAGCGCCAGCTGGCAGCCGAGGCCGCCCGCCCACAGGCTGAAGCAGCGGCAGCAGCTGAGAAGCAGCGGCTCCAAGCCGAAGTTGAAGCAGATACCCAGGCAGGCCGCAAGGGAGCCCAGGATCTGCTGCAGCGGCACTAAGCCAACACCATCGAAAGACTCAAGTTCTGGCACTTTCAACCGTCTAACGGCGACAACGCGGCACCGGAGGAGCAGCACAAGGAGTTCACGGCCAAACTCGTGGCCAAACTGGTTTACACTTGTAACCACCTGCAGTCCGAGCTGGCGAACCTCCAGCGGGCCATGCGGAACCATAAGGCTCAGCACGAGGATGCCACACAGGCACTTGACGCCCGTGTACAGGACTTGGAACAAGTTCCACCAAGACCGGAGGCTGGTGAATCCAGCAGTGCACCATCAGCCCGCCAACTGGAGGAACGCGTTGACCACGTAGTGGCAATGCTAGGAGACATCAGTGCCTTCGCAGAGCCGACCACCATCAGCCAGCGGTTCGATGTGCTGGACACCAAGATCAGTCAGCAACAGCAGACTGACCACAGCCACAACAACAGCTCGGCGAGGCCTTACAAGATGCCGACGTTCCGGATCGAAAAATTTGATGACTACACACATCAAGACCCGGTAGTCTGGTGGCAAGGATTTACAACAGAGTTGGGGATTCACGAGGTTCCCGACCATCTGTTCATCAACACCAAGGGAGGATGTCAAGTCTGGCTCAGCCACATGGCAACCATCCATGGCGTCCAGGTTTCGGACCTGTACAAGAAGGTCTCCTGGGAGGATATGACAAAGGAATGGAAGACGCGGTTCATCGTCGACGACGCCCCGACACTCGCCATCAACCGCATCTTCACGATGGCTCAAGGAAGCACACCGACACGTGACTGGCTCACGGATTGGCAGAAGATCGTGGCCACGCCTGATCTGGACTTGCTATTTCCTCATCTGCGTCGTGAGTTTTACAACAGGTCATGCGCCGCTCTCAGCCTCGCACTGGGTGATCGCGAGCAGTACAACACTTTCGCAGAGATCATCAACAAGGCGAGAGAGATCATCAAGACCAACAGGCCGGCTGCACACGAGAAGTCAACATGGCAGCCGACCTATGAGGAGAAGGTAAAGACTGGTCCGCGGCCGCAGCATGTCGCTGCAGTCCAATCGGACAGTGGAGAAGACCCGGCAGCCGCCCAAGCATCACGTGAGGGAGATCAGGTGGCTGTTGTCCAGCCGCGAAGCAACAACAAGTCCCGAGGTAATGGGAAGGCGAAATCAGCATCGCAAGCCGGAAACGGACAGCCAGCACCATGGGTCAAGTTCGGCTTGACCGAGACGGAGTACAAGTACTGCGGCCGCAACGGGTGCTGTTACTGGTGCAACAACGCCAAGCACAAGACCTCCCTTTGCCAGATTTGGCCAGGAGGATGTGCGGCCTCGTCTTARCTCGGGAAACTGAGTTCCGCGGGAGGTGAGGCGACTCCACCTCCCACTCCACCAGATTCGGCCGCCTTGCTAGCGGCCTCCTACACATCTGGGGAGGATGCAAATGTCGTAAGTTCTCGATATACTTACGAGGACTATGCTGTCCACTTGGTCCCACCGTTGGACCAACCGMTCCACGTGCAACAATCCATCGCATGCACGGCTTCACCACCATCGRCAACCGATTCGGCAGCTTCGCCGCTATCTATCGCCGGGGATTCATCGTCATGGTCAAGACTTGAGGTGCTCGACCCACTGACGTTCACGGACTTCCAGTGGATGTCCGTTCCCCCGACCGGTCGATTGCCGAAACCGCATTGCAACGTGCTCATGGCACAATTGCGGGATTACTTGCACACTGCAATACCGACTCCGTTGATGGACGCCGGAGTAGAGGTTGTCGACCTTCACGCTTACATTGTGAAGATCGACCGCGAGTTCAAGACGCAACAGTACGACGACATCGACGCACCATTGCTGTACGTACGCATTCAGATCGGACAGGCGACCTGCAGCGCTTTGATCGATTGCAGAGCGACTCGCAACTACATGAGTCAGGACTTCATGGTACGCGCCGGCCTTGGCCCACGAGTCCGAAGGAAGTCCCAGCCCACGCAAGTCACGTTGGCCGACGGTCACACGCACAAGTCAATCGACCGGTGCATTGATGACGTCCCAGTGTACTTTGCCCCTCACGCAAGTGAGCCGGTGTCCTTTGACATTCTGGACACCAAATTCGACATGATCTTGGGCATGTAATGGCTGCGAAGCGAGGACCACCCGGTGAACTTCTACCGCCGCACCATTCACGTCCGTGATCGGAACGGAGTACTAGTCCGATGCACGGTGCCTCCTCCTCACCTTTCGATCAGCTGCCACGTGGTATCCTCCGCAAGCATGCGAGCTTCCATCATCAGAGACGACATCGAGGAGATGGGGGTGTGTTTTCTCCACGCCCTCCCGCCCCATGACGCTTCATCGACGAACTCATCTTCTGATCCACGCATCACCGAGCTTCTCGACACCTACGGCGACGTGTTCGAAGGCCCGCACGGAGTAGTACCGGATCGGCCTATCCGCCACGAGATCATCCTCGAGGACGGGGCCGTACCTCCGCGCGGTTGCATCTACCGAATGAGCGAGGAAGAGTTAAGTGTGCTTCGGGCACAACTCGATGACCTTCTGGAGAAAGGCTGGATTCAACCTAGCTCATCGCCATACGGTGCGCCTGTTCTCTTCGTCCGGAAAAAGAACAAGGATTTGCGGTTGTGCATCGATTATCGCAAGCTCAACGCGCAGACGATCAGAAACGCTGACCCTCTCCCACGCATCGACGGCCTTCTCGAACGACTGGGCAGTGCAAAGTTCTTCTCCAAGCTGGACCTCAAGTCGGGATATCACCAACTCGAGATTCGGAAGGAGGACCACTACAAGACCGCGTTTAAGACGCGATATGGACACTTCGAATGGCTGGTTATGCCATTTGGCCTTACGAATGCCCCGACCACTTTCCAAGCGGCTATGACAACGAAGTTCCGACACATGCTGGATCGATTCGTACTTATCTACCTCGACGAC